GGGGTCGCAAGACGGTGAGCCGATGACTTCTTCGCAAAATTCAACAGTCTTTCCTACCCTCCTATCATACCTCGGTTACCAGCGAGACCACATCACGAATTCATTCCGACCAACTTTTCCTCCAAAAGAGAAAGTCATGTCACAATATAACACTAAGAAATTCTTCAGAACCGAGTTTTTCTTTATAACTAACAATATCTTGTCTGGTACTCTAATACTTGTATCCTAAGTCCTGTAAAATGATTATAAGAGTGAAATTCCTAAGTTTTTTAATAGGTAAAGCCTAAGCATTCCATCAATCAGCCATATTCTCCCTTTTAGAGAATTTAAAGGCCTGCCTAAATGAGCACTGTTTTTTACAAGTTGTTATAATTTGCCCATACCTTCTTTAAGTTTAATTTTAAACAAACCTCTGTATTCCTATATCAGTTTCCTTCTAAAGAAATTAGTTAAGTCTCGAACCCCACCGAGAATTAGAAGTGAGCTGATCTTAGTTTCGCAACTTGGTCTTGTTGTCAGGGTGACTTAGTAGAACGCATCTTGTCTGAAGTTCTCTGCCATAGTAGTCATCATAATTCCTAGCATCAGACGGTGGACTTGGTACATTCTCAGATCTTTTGCCGGCATCGTCAGTGAGTATTGCCAATCTCCGTACCAAGTTATGATCGCGTTAAATAGACAAATGAAGTCAATCCCTCGACCGACGTTCTGCTGAAAACGGTTACAATATCACTCTTCTTTCTGTCCTGGCCCATCTATCAATTCCTTACCCTCTTATCTAACTCCCGCTCTATCACAACTTCCAATTTGTTTACATTCCACTCGTCAAAAGGCGGTTCCAGTCCCAGTGTGCGTTTTACTCCAGGCGCTATTTCTCAAGACTGGGACAGAAAGAAAAACGTTTCGGGGGAACGTTGGCCGAGGGATTGACTTCACTTGTCTCTTTGACGATATCGTAGCTTGGTGCGGAGAATGACAACACTCACTGATGATGCCGACCACAATGCCGTCGAAATGTCTGAGAATGTACCAAGTCCAGAGTCTGATGCTGGGAATTATGATAGCTAAGATGATAGGACAAGATGAGTTCTACTAAGTCGCTCTGACAAGACTAAATTATGAAAACGAGGTCAACTCACTTTTATAAATCGAAGGGAGAATGCGATTATACCGGGGCCATACTATCTTGGTCTTCATATTTACGATTTTCGAGAATTGGTTTACTCGGTTTTGTGAAACGATGAAAACAAAGGTTTTCTATTAATCTTCTGAGAAAGCATTTTTTATTGATTAACCAAGCATTTTTCTTAATGTCTAGGCTTGAAGCTA